TTGGGCAAATCGGTTTCGCAACACGGAGCTTTGCCACAGATCCGGGAACTTTTGCAACTCAAGCATCCCCCTGGGCCGCTTCTTGCTTGCTCCCATGGTTGAAAAAAGAGGCATCGTGACGCAAATGACAGTGGCTCAAACAACCGGTACCCAAAACGGAACCCTGGTAAGTGGAAACATGGACCAAAAGCTGCGATTTGCCCCACCTTGTTAATTAATTGAGCCGCACCCAAATGGTGGTGGACGGCCCCTTTTTTGGGTGCCCACGAACCTCTCTGGCCAGAATGGCCAGGAGGCAGTCGGTTCGTGAGGTTGGCAGGCAGCTCCACGTATTCCGCCAAAGGATTCTCCGGAAGGACCAGGGAGCAGGCGGTCATCTCCTACGCTCAGTTGGCCTTCCCAGTCCCGACCGCAGTCCTGGCAGTCCTTACATGGAAAAACACCTGGACATTGCAACTTGGAAATGGCGGTGTCCAACTTTACTTTGGTGTTGAAAAAAAAAGCCACATGTTTCAAATGGGAAAGCAACATGAGTTTCTTTTAAGCCCAGCTTGGGCACCCAAAAAATCGGGCAGGAGTCGCAGGAGTGCCAACCTTGGCAGTCTGTGTAGAGCTTCACTCGCTAACCCAAGAATTGCGCTCACCAAACCAGCCAGTCGAAGAGACACCTGCAATTTTTTACGCCCTGGTTTCTTCCTGCCGCCCCCAGCTCCGCTTTCCGTCCTTGTTCCACATCACGATCTCTCCGCTCACGCCGAGGAACATGCGGAGGCCCACCTGGCCAGTCTTGCCCCGAAGGCGACAAGGAAACTCCCTTCGATGGCTTGGGCATCAAACGGGACCACTGCACCAACAAATGCAAAGAAACACTTCTAGTGACATGGAACAAACAAAACCCATGCACCTGCAGAAGAACAAAGGATCTCCTAAATCTCAACAAAGCACACCCTTGCGGACACAATCGGATCTCAGTAAGTTGCGATGACAAGAGCAGCTCGTCCTTTCACAACGTTTGCTTCTGCTTGGCTTCACCGGGATTTCTCGTCGGGGCTCCTGATTAGGCATCCTTGGCCCCCAAACATCTAGTCGGCCACATTCAGCTATGATTGGACAGGTAGAGTCATATGTATGCGTGTACATACGTATGTGGTAGTTGTGGGTCAAAAATAGGGTAACCCCAAAATGGCACCAAACGGTAAATGGAAACAATGACTGAAACCTGTGGTCCATATCCTGGTGGTTGAAAATTTTGACCCATACCCATGTTATGTACGTGCATCGGTACCCCCAGTGAACATCAACCAATCCAACCACTAAAATAGGTTCTATAAAATTGGTGGTGCGCCTACCCCAAAATGGGATCCCAAAACGGTTTTGACAAACACAGCCAGGTCCTCCAACCGTCCCTCGCCTTGGCCAAGACCTCGCAGGTCTCCCGGAAGTCCTGGCAGCTGCTGACGCCGCTCTTGGCCAGGAACTCGTCGATGAGCCGCAGGCCCATGTTGTATCCCATCCTCTCCAGCCTGAGCAAAGCCATCCACTCGAGGGGGGACGTGTCAAACGGGGGGGGGGGGGCAGCCTCAAACCGAAAGCCGAAAAACCACCAGCTCGAGAGGCAGGGACGTGTCAAAACTGGGGGGGGGGATGAAACCAGCCCCAAATTCAAACTGAAGAGCCATCGGTTCGAGAAGGGATGTGTGTGTGAGCGTGTCAAACTGGGGCTGAAACCTAGTTGGAGGGCAGATGCTTGCGTTTCATCTGATAGTCAAATGGTATCCCATGTATCCCACCTTCTCCGGCCTGAGCAAAACTCGCCAGCGGTATTCGGAACGTGGGCTCACCTGTACCGTTCGAAGGTAGTGAGATTCCGCCCTGCACCAATAGGCTATCAGGAAGCAGAAGCTTCTCTTGGAGGCAGGGAATGAGAAACGGGATGACCCCGAGCAAAACCATCCCCGGCTCTGGTTTCCTTTCCCAGGACTTGGTCATTCCCTACCTATCGGCTGAGGCAAGCCGGGTGTCTCACTTGAGCGGATGGGCCAAAAGGTCTGGGACTTGTTGGAGTTGCTAAAAAGGTCCAAACCCAAAAAGAAGAAAAGCCCAGAACTCGACAATGAAGAGCCCGTCCAAACCCATCAAGCCGAAGAAAACCAAACAGGTGGATGTGAAGATGCGATCACCATACTATTTAGGGAGCAAACCAATGGGCCACAAAGAAAGAGGCAACACACCCCCTCCAACTGACATGGAACCTGACAGAAGGTCCCGATAGGAGGAAAATGGTCTCAAGCGTTCCCCTCAGGCTCCACATCGATGGGAGGGAACTCTTTCTTCTTGGTGTTTTAACTGCTGGTTTTCCGCAGGGCTGGCAACATCCCGGACCTGGGGTTGCCTATTGGCTCTGATTGGGTGGCAGTTGGGAGTGGCTGGGGTGGCTGGCTTAGATCTTCATGAGGGTGGGTCTTGGGGTGATTTGGGCTTGATTTAGGCGAAGCGAAGGGCTGACATCCAGGCTGCTATTGGGCGGGTTTGGGGTTGACTTTGAGTGGTTTGGAGCTGATTTGTGTTAGGTGTGCTGCTGGTTTAGCAGCGGCTTTAGGGTTGCTTTAGGGTGTGGTTAAGTGAGTGTTGGTCTCGTCTTGGTGCTTTGGGGCAACGCCCCAAAAGCGATCCGAGCCAAAATCCCCCCTAACTTAAACCAGCCCCCAGCCACTCCTAACCGCCACCCAATCAGAGCCAATCGACGGCCCCAAAGCCAAGCGAGGCTGGTGGCCAGCCAACCACCCACCCACCAGGGAACCAGCCCTAGTAAAAAAAAATCAGCCCTGGCAAAAGAAAAAGAAAACACTCACCGGATCCCAGTGGTAGCTCTGTGCCCCAATATCTCAATATCCAAAGCCGATTCAGGGGAGGCATAGGCTCCCCTTTTTGAGGAAGCTTCTCCGAATCTTTTCTACCCAAAATGTTGTCCTCTCAGTTCTCCATTTTGAGCTGAAACGAGTTCTTGGCGCCAAAAAGGACACACCAATCCCTCCAAACAAGAGGGGCACACCTGATGCGACCAGTTTTATGGCTCCGTCCCACTCGCCCGGCGCGCGCGGATCGCAATGGATGCCCGGGCGCTGCGCGTTCACCGCGTCCACGTCCTCGATGTCCCGCAGCAGCTGGGTGACCAGCGAGCCGTAGGTGAGGACGAAGAGATCTGCGTTGACCTGCGCGACTCGAAGTGAGGAACCTGCAATGCAGTCGTTGCCTTCAAAAAAGAGGACGCTTGTGCAAAAGAGGAGGATTATTTTTGGAAGTTCCTCTACACATGGGTGCGTGAGGTGCTTTTGGGGGGTCCAGTCGTTCATGGGTTTATAGAATGGTTGTTTGTCTTGCTTCCGATTGGATTGCGCATCTACCCCTGCGATTTCTGGCTGTAAGGCGATGCGTTCGCAACCAAAGCAAGTGGGTCAACCCAGGAACCCCAATGGTTGTCCAAATGGGTCCGCTTTTTGGCGTCGGTTCCCTCTTTTCCGTCTCAAAAGGAAACCAAGACCAAGTATTGCCCCCTCCCGGCCCGGAGCCAATGTTCCAGAATCCAGATGACCCTCTCGAATCCCCTTTGAAACGGGGTCAACCCCCACCTGCGAGAATGGTGAGGTGTACGGCAAACAGGGGACTAGCCAGATTCTTCATCCGGCTATCGTTCGCTGGTCGAAGTGGAAACTGTGGGTCACCCCATTCATCCCAAGACGTCCGCATAAAACTTGCCTTCTCCATGCGATTGAAGGCCATGTCACCGAGCTTGCCATACCTGGAGAAGGGTATGGCACCGTGCAACCCCAAACGCAACAACCTCGCAAAGGTACTCAAGAAAACATGCAGCCCAAACACAATGCTGCATCACAAACCCTATCTGGATCAAGGGACCACAGACTGCCCACCAACAATGTGTTTTTATGCTGTTCCTACTGTACCTCCCCAAGACTTCATCCACAGCATGAGCCCAGAAATGGAAAACCTGAAGAAGAAAAAAAGGTAGACGATACCGACAATCAGGAACCTTCCCAAAGACGCTGCCAGGCACTGGATCTAGATTAAACTCTCAGATGCTCTCAAAACGACGGGATGGAGAGCCCATTTTGGTGGTTTGGGGTACCCTCAAAACACGAAGACACCCGGCTGTATGGGTTTTATCAAGGCAACGTCGAGAGGGGTCAACCCCCCTCAACCCTGCAAAAGACACACATGCAGCAAACAGGCCAGGCGCAAAGCCGAGCTCAGCCAAGTGGCTTGTCGATTGCAGGTCGCGACATGGCGATATGGCAACCAGCAATGCGAAGTATCGATGAATTTGTCGGTTTGCTTCTTTGCTTATGAAGGGCTGTCAAAGGTTCTGCTTGGACCAAATTCTGGCTTCTGAGCTTGCTCCATTCCTGTCACTGAGCATAGAAGCCTGGCAGAACTTGCCAGCTTGCTATCTGCTTGAAGGTGAAGACCGATCGCAATTTGCCGATTCTGAGACGCATGCAACAAAGCAGCTCCTTGCAATGTACAGTCAAGCAGCAACGAGGCAATTTCCTGGATTAATCAGAGATCCCTTCGATGAGGAGTCGCTTTCAGGAAACCACTCCGCAATACAATGCCGGAGATAAACTTCCACGGTGTGGACATTGACAACCGGAAGCTCCCAAATCTTTGCCGAAATGGTGGCTTTCCGTTTATTTTACCTTTTACGCCATCCAAAACAGGTTACTCAGCGATCCTCCCTTCACTTTGAAGCCACCCCGAAAAGAAAAAAGAGAATTGAGCTTTTTCCCACAAACCCTCAACCCCCCCCCCCCCGCGCCCCCAAAAAGAAATAAAGAAAGAAGGAAACAAAAGCTCGCACACAAATATCCCCCCAAAAGAGTACTCCCAAAAAAGGTACCTCCAAAAAACGAACACGCAAACACATACCCAAGAAAAACCCACAGAATTGCACCGGGAAGTCTGGCCCTCTCCAAGGCCCGCGCGTGCATCAAGGCCGTCTGGCCCCTGGCATCCCTGCGCTGCACCTCTGCCCGGTGCTGCAGGAGCAACGCCACCAGGGGACTCGGAACCCCGCGGCCCTCCTCGGCGTCACCCACGTCGTGTGAGACGTCGACGGTCGCTTTCGGCTTCGACCGACGTTCTACAGCGGCAAAACGGCCAAGCACAACAGGCTTCCAAGCTGCGGGTGGCATTTGTTGTGTCTTTTTCGGCTTGGCCCCCCCAAAAGTGCGCCAGGGTGTCGTTTTTTTTCGGCTTGGGGACCGGACCCAAAAGTCCGCCAGGGACTGGGACCCACCCTTCACTCAGGCAAGCTGCGTCTCGAGGGCCTCCAAATTCGTGTTGCTTTCCTGGTGGCTTTCCCCCGAAAAAGACACCTCCAGCGGTTTGGAGAGCTGAATGCAGGCGGGTGGCAGCATCCACATAGTCGATCCTGGATGCCCACATCAGCAAGGTCTGCTTCCCAGTGGGCTCCGCCACCTGTCGGGCGCCAAAACCAAGACGCTTGAACCGACCTGCGCACTCCAATGTTGCTTGAACTCTTACATCCGCCCCCAATCTTGGTTGTTGACACCTCTGCAAACCCCTTGATTTCCCAAAAAGCTAAAGTCTTCAGATCCTTTGCCCAATAGCAATCAAGCAACCCTCCCCCCCCCAATCCCGCGCATTCCTTCCGCAGAACTCCCCGTTCCCTCGCCTCGTTGGCATCTGCCCTGGCCTCCAGCAACAAACCTGCGCAGCCCGGCCAGCTGTGCGCCATAGCCTCCCCACAGCCCCGCCAGTCCCCGGGTTCTTCCCAGGTGCTCGGTGTAAACGTCAGGTTTCCGGGGGCGAGTTTGATGTTGCCTTTCGGTAAGGGGAGCCATAGGAAACCCTTTCCAAGTAGACAAGTTGAACATGGGGCTTACTTTCCACAGATCACGTTGCAAAGCATGGCAGCATGAGCCATCGCATTCAATAGTTTATGGTAAGCAGCTGGCCACCAAATCTATTTTCTGCTGCATCCTCAGCACATGATGCTAAGTGCTTCCTCATCCGTCTTCTCCATTGGCTTCGCAGGGTTGCCCATTTCGATTTGGTGGATGATGCCCGAACGACCAGGAAATCGCAGCGATTTGGGAGGCGCCCAGTTTTGGCCAGTTGGGAATGTGGACAATGCTTCAAGGCGCTCAAAGGAAACATCTCTCCACACCGAGTTCATTTGCCGTTGCCCGAGCCCCCGAGACGAAGCGAGACGAAGCGGCGCGCGACGCGAGACCCGGCCGCGGCGAGGCAGGAGGTGCCGGCGCTGCGGTGGCTGCAGTCGGCACGCAGCGCCAGCAGTCGCCGCGCCACGTCCTGGCGACGGCGAAGCGGAAGCAGAAGCTTCGCCCAAGGCGCAGCGGGGGGATGGGGCGGTGAATGGGCATGGCACCTTGTGGAGGTGGATTCAGAGTGGGCGGGTGGATAAAGAAATTGCACTGCACGCAGTTGATGCAACAGTAACCAGTGCCCCCACCCTCGCCGTGGTGTACGGCACCCTAACGCAGCACGCATTTCACCATGGTCCCTCGGTTTCGTTGTACCACAAGCTGCACGCGTTTCCAAGCTTCATCCTCTTTAAGCACGTTGTATGTCTAGACAGGTTTCAGGGAAGCTAAGTGGGTGCCATGCCCTCATGACCTTCCTGATTTGAATTGACCAAGAGGACTGGGTGTGTTGGCCACATCGTGAGAATTTTCACGCGCCAGGTGGTCCACTTGAACTCATTTCCCTGCGAACCTCTCGCCTCGTAGCCCATGGAGCAGGCCCACTGCAAGAGAGAGCACCCGTGAATCCGCGGGTCGCTCCAGTTCGCATCCAGCTGCGGATATTTCCTGGCGAGAAGTCCGCTACGGCCGGCTGAGGCCGACCAGGGAGGCGAGCGTTAGCTATGTTTTCCACTCAAGCAATCTCCCCTAAAGAACACATCGGTGGCCTTGTGCTTTTCGATGAGTGGCCATAACATTCATGGAGCAAGGGGAAACATCTGATCATATTCGGAGGACATCTTCATTTAACTGGGTGTGTCTTTCTTTGATGGAGCTTGGAAACGCGGAGGATGAAGCTTGAAAACCCCAAATGAGGAACTTCGGTTTCCACTCTCAAACGGCCCATGAGTCGCTTCGGCCGAGATGATTCGCATCGCACCTCAGCAGCTCCAAAGGCTCTCGCTGCATCTGCGCCAAGCTTGGACCGCCCTCTGCTTGTATCATGGCCTGGACGGAAGATCCACCGCTGCCAGCGACTTGTTCGTGTTGTGTACAAAAATAACAAATACGTAACATAACAAAACAAGTCTATCTTGAAGGACATCACAAATACATAGAGCGTGTTTTTTGTGACATTTGTGATAACATCGCATACACAAAGCAAATACATAAAGTGTTTTTCGTTGAGTGTTCCAAAAACACAAACACATCACACACACACAACACACACACACACACACACATACACACACACACACATACACACACACGCGCACACACACACAAACACAAACACAAACACAAACACAAACACACACACACACAAACACAAACACAAACACAAACACAAACACAAACACAAACACAAACACAAACACAAACACAAACACAAACACAAACACAAACACAAACACACACACACACACACACACACACACACACACACACACACACACACACACACACACACACACACACACACACACACACACACACACAAAGCGTCCCGTTGAGTCTAGCTGATTTACCCCAAAGCTCTCGCTCCCTCCTTTTGAAGCCGGGGGTACTTCGCACCCGGGAGCGGCGAAACAAAAACCGGACCAGGTGAAGATACGCCAATGTCCAGATGGCTGTGGGTCAAAAATCGTTGGTAACCCCAACATGGCTTGCCCTGGTAAATGGAAACATGGACTGAAACCTGCGGTCCATATCCTGGTTTAATTTTGGCCCATGCCCACATATGCCCAACCCCCCCCCCCCCCCCTCCCTCCCCCATCAGCAGAACATGAGACATGCATGGTCCATAAAGCGACTCCTTCGTGAGTGCTCAAACCTACCTGGGCGTGTGAATTGCAATCATGAACCCTGTGGACATAAGAATTCCGTGGGGATTGAACTTGTCCACCAATGACCATGGGTAAAGAAATGTCAAATATCTGTTTGGGGGGTTTTCCCCCAAGGTCATCCCATGTTTTACGGACCTTTTGATCAACTGTTAAAAATCCTCGCCACTCAAAGGCCTGACGCTTGTCCATCCCTGGCATTCGCCGGCGCCCGCCTCTGCCTCGGCCTGGCGACCCTCGCCTGACACACCCCGGCTTGCCACGTGCGCAAAGCTCATGAAACTCACGCAGCTCATTCGAGTGGATTGGCAACAAGTTGTCTGAAACTTTTCAACATTTGCTTTCTTCTCCGGCTTCTGTCTGCATGTCTAGGTCCTCCAGTAGAGAGGTTAGAATAAGGGTACCCTTTTTTCTGTAGTCTATTTTAGTAAAAAAAACCCTCCCAACCAAAAAAGAAACGGTAAAAGGGCACCTAGCTGGGGGACCTAGATGTGCTTGCTTTTTCTGACGCAACATGCTCACTTGGCCATTGTTCAAATGGCCGCCCTCCACAGCCCGGTCGTCCGATCCCGCTCTCGGGATGCCGAGCTTATCAGCTGCGTGTAGCGGTTGCTGTCAAACCTCAGCAAAAAACGAGCCCGGTGAAACACATCCAGAGCATTGCAAGTGTCTTCTCAACAGGTGGGTCAGACTCTCCTCCAAGATCCAAATCACAAGCGGATATGGCTCCGAACCGCAAGGAGAAGCTTCAAACTCTTCCAGGCCGAAGGACGCGGCTTTGTATTTTGCCCACGGCTTCGGTGGAATTCGACGGGACATGCCCCACGAGCAGGCGAAGCACTTCTCGCAAGGCCAAGCGATTGCACGCAGTTTGCCGTCCCGTCGCCCCGCGGGCCCGGGCTCGGAGTTGGTCTCCGGGGGATTTTGCATCGCGTGCATCAGCTCCAGCTCCGGCGTGCGCAACAAGATGTTGCTCTCCTGGCAAAGGGAACGTGTTGGCTGGTCCTTTCTTGGGCTTTGGACCCCCAAAATGGATTTCGGCCTGTAAAACCCTCAAAAAAAGACACGGCCATGGTGGGCCAAAAAGCCTCTTGAGTTGTTGGTTTCTGCAGCCCCCCAGCATTTTGGTGGGCTGAAAGGGAAACCACAGAGAACACCCACCAAGTTGGTGGGGCCACCTATTTCAAGACACACCCACATGGCTGAAAACTGCACCTAAATTCGCTCAGGTCTCCTTGCTCTCCTCCCAAAGAGTCTTCGGATCCACTTCCTTGCCTGTGAGACCATCGATGATGATGCCCGAGCCTCACAAGGAGTCTGGTCCCAAGCACAAGTCTGCTCAGAATCACCCGGTGTACGCGTGACATTTTGAGGCATGCGCTTGGCAGTGAGGCAAACTTGGACGCGCAATTTCTTTCTGACCACGAAGTCAGTGGGGTTTACAGCTCGCAAGGTATTCTGTGCGCATACCGTCAAGTGAGACACCACAAGGGCATCCAGCAGTTGCTTTAAACCTACGCGACCCGCATGTCTGTGTGGTCCGCAGGGACCAAATCTTCCACAAAAACACAAAAAGTCCAGGTTTCTGCGAAGGTTTGCCAAGCCGCCAAGCCATGCGGAGCGCACAACATAGGCCTCACACCAACGCAATCCAAGCCGCTCCGCGGCTTCGGCGATGCCTGCACCATGCAATAGATCCCTCCAGTCTGAACGCGCATGGCTCATTGGCAAACTCTGCGATACTGTCGCTTAGGCAAACCAAGAAGCAACAAGCTCGCTTTCACATCTAAGTTAAAAAGCCATAGCGACATCTATTGAACACCTCTGCAAACCTATGCCTCGGCCTGATCAACCATTCTGAGGTGGAATGCCGTGGCTGACCACGAGCAGCAAAAGTCAAAGTGCTGGCCTGCGGGACCGCCGTCGTCGTTGATGCTGGCTTTAAGAAGCCTCCAAAATGCAGCGAAGCGAAAATTGCCTCCGATTTGGTCGCTTGACTGGCACAAAAATTGTCTCCTGGGTCTCTGAATGCCTGGGGCACAACAGTCGCGACATAAAATGCGAAAATCCCATGATGCCTTCAGCCTATGCCACTGGCCGAGCCCACCTTTTGCAAGACTCGTGGAAGGCTTCGCATCGAAAGCCTCAGCAAACATCGGGCTCTGTCAACGGCATTCAACTGCGCACGGTTTGCATTCAAAACCTTCTGCAGTGACCATGTAAGACCAAATGCACAAAACAAGATGCACAAAGCAAGAGGGGTGCCAAAGCCGTTGCCTGAACTGAGACTGCGACATTTGGAACTGCCTGCAACTCTGCAACCCCAAATGTAGTCCTTCCTAAAATGTTGGGGTCTCTTTTTGGGTGGTTTCCCCAAACAAAACAAGGCTCAATCTTCATAGGGCAACTTCCATTTGCTTCAGCCCCCGGAAAAACATGAGAACATCTGTCCGGCACTTCAAACTTCTTGGCTTCAGCCAATGGAAAGGCTACGGCCATCCGGCAACACGCCCCTCCACGCCCTTGGCCCAGCCCGGATCCCGCGCCCAGGCCGGGCTCCGCTGGGCCGCCGGGCCGCGATCTTCCGCTCCAGGCGCCTCAGCTGCTTCTCCAGCTGCGAGGCTTCAAACTCCTCTCGAAAAACGGAGGCGACGAAGGCTACCCCCTTGATCGGTGCTTTGGGCGGTTTGGAGTACGGGGATCCTGACATGATACACCTGAACATTGCAACTTGTAAATTGTGGTCCCTGTATTTTGGTGTTGAAAAAGCCATGTTTCAAATGGGCAAGATGTATCTGTTAAGGAACCCTGGACTACTTGAACCGCTTCTTTGTGGAGGGTTAATGGGAAATTAGTTCTTGACCACCAAACCACCAATTGGCATGGGAGGGGCGCGGGTCCGCCTGTCGGTGCTTTGGGCACACCGCCAAGCCACCAATCCAAACCGCCAATTGGAAGGGAGCTCAGCTTTCAGCTTGCCCTTGGTTGGGATGGGTGGTTTGGTGGTTAGGAGGGGTGTCCCATTTGCAAACTACGAGAACCAAGGTTTCAAATCCAAATCCAAACCACTAAATGATCTTGCGTGGTCTACAAAAAGCCGACCCCTTATGTGAAAAACATGTGCGTGTGTGCGGGCGTCTTTTCGGAATGATATCAGACAAATATAGATACCAGTCCTCCACCATCCGATGTCAATCAAAACAATCGTCGGATACGTTTTGAGTGGCCCTCACACCCAAGTATTCCTGCCAAGGAATGGTTCAAAGATGGACCTGATAGGGATCTTATCTGTGTTGTGTCTCGATCCGACGCTCGCTCTGCACGATGGGACGTAGCGGCGTCGCGCATGGTTGACGAATTCGCGGAGAAACCCATTCTTTTGTCGTCTGTCCTGTTTCAACAATCCGCGAACAAGTTGTACATTGCGCAATGGTAACACAAAATGTTTGAATCAACCTAGGGAGGCTCAATACATCTGAAACGTCTAACAGTGGACCCTGGTCTGATGCTTGCTTGCGACATAGCACCACCCCGCAGAAGCGGCAAAGTATTGAGTGGACGACTGCCAGTTGCGTTCTATCCTTCTTGAGTTTTCTCACCCCGCTTCCATGCCGCAGGTTTGCTCAAGAATGACCACCGGGCAAGTCATAGCCCTTTGGATCCTCTCTTTGCTGGTGCTCAGAAAATGAGGGAATGACCCTTCTATTTATTGCGCATGTTGGCTGCATTCCCACATTCCCTTCGCGGACCAGCAAGTCTCACCGGCATGTGAATCATAGGTTCTTTGCCCTTGAGCCAGATTCTCTCTCCCTCTGATTCATGGCTTGGTGGGTTGCTGGTTGGGGGGGTGTCCCGTTTGCAATGCGTCAATCGGATGGTCTCCTTGTCTGCGCAGAGGCCCCGGAGGCGGCTGTTCTCTTTGGCCGCCGCCTCGATGCGCTGTCGCAACGCAGCCTCGCCATTGGCGATTCGGGGGAGCGGGGAGCGGGGTCTAGCAGGGCTAGCTGTCTGATCCCGTTGGGAAGGTAAAAACGGCTCCTGCGAGCAAGCGGGCGCTGTGAATCTTAATTGACTGTTGGTGGACATCATTTTGGTGGGGATTCATGTCCACCAATCACTCTCGAGGTGGCTCCCTATTGAAACTCATAGGCCAAATATGCAAAAACTCTCGTTCGAGGGTCCACGAACTTTGCTGGAAAGGGTTTGTGAGGCAAACCCTGACCCTGATCCCATCGGGATACCAAAACCCCTCGCCCGGCCTCATCCTCATAGCCATTGGCGCCCATGGCTCCATGAATCACCGGTGTTGGGCCCTTGCAAAGGAAAAACACTGGTGGAACAATCCCTGGGTACATCTGAACACGTTCAACCAGTCAGAAACGGCCCCTGGTGCCGTAAAAGATTACCAGGACCGAAATGGGCACGACAAGGGTGCAGCAACGCGCACAGATTGCCACGAAACCCAAACGCGTGTCCAAGCACAATGGCGCAAGAGACATGTACAAAGAAACTCCACTGGGCAAAACCTTGACAGCTACAAACAGAACCCCACTTGGAGGCGATCTGGTAGTTTGCTGATCGAGCTCAACATGTTTGCCGCTGACACCAACGCTCGAGTTCCCACTAGAAGCAAGGTGCACGGTTGATGGCCGCGTCCGGTCAGAATCCACCTGCTTCAGCCATGTTGCCACTAAGGCATAGAATGCTATCTAGCCCCATGAACATGTTGACAGTTTAGGGCTGCGTTGAATGAAGGTTGCCCCAGGTTGCTTTCAAACTGCCTTTGGGGGAGGTTTTAGGAGGGCTCGGCTTTTGGGCAAACCCTGGCTTCGATGCATGTTTTGCTCAAAGCCACGCAAGCCGCAAACCACCACTTCCAACATTGCAACAAATCATGAACCAAATGGAGCAAATGCGGTGTCACACAAAAGGCCGTGATAGCAAGGGCTAAGCTAGCCCGCGAGCGTTTTAAACTATGCTGTGTTGCGGGGGGAGTGGGGGGAGACAGTTTCCCTCCTTTACCCACTCCCCCTTACGCCATGCAAGACAACACCGCTGTGGCAAGGTTTGGCCAGCTTAAATGTTTAAACCGCTGTTGGATACATATCTTCATGTAGGGTTCACTTGAGAATGCCCGGTCAACACATTCACGTTTGGTTCAACGAATCGTTTTCTTTTGAGGAGTGTGTATCACTGTATCACCATCATCCCCAAACAAACGAGGTTGTTGAACCGCCTGCTCGCTTGAAGAAAAGAAACCGGCTCGCCAATCCCGCTGGTCCGCCTGAATTCGTATCGCACATTGTCGCACTTGGGCAAAGCCATGGGAGTCACAACCTTCTGTGCGCAACTTGGAAGAGACAATGCCTCTTGGCGCTTCGTGGCAACAGAAACCGCTCGATGGGACATGCTAAGTCCACCCCTCGCAAGTTGAAAGTAAAATTCTGGGGGCTTGCCACCAGAAGTGTGGGCCTGGAGCATTGCGTTCTAAGTCCATTCCCGTCTCAAGGAGCCACAGAAAAGCTCTGGACTCCAGACTCCGACTCACTTGCCAAAGCTTCGGCCTGGGCAATTCGAGCAACCCTGAGCCATATTGGGTATGGCGTTTTAAGACTCTTTGGCACCAACCACTCCACTTTTGAGGGTCCAACTCTTAAAGATCCAAATCCATATGGGACCGATCGCTATGAAAATGTAAAGTAGCCCAAAGTGTGAACTGCAAAGGCGGCATCTCACTCTGGCGGAATGACTTGACCATTGCCCTTCACTTACCTGGGTTTTGATTTTCTGGCTCGCCTGACTGGCGGACTGGCTTGGCCCCCACTACCCGGAAAAAAAAGGGGGAAAAAAAACACGCGGAACGGTAAAAACGTGATTTTTCTTGCTGCGAGCAGGGAGTGTCGTTGAATGCAGTGTTTTGGGGTCTGAAAGGAACCCACAAATTGTTGTTGCTGTTGTTGTTGTCGTCGTCATCGTTGTGGTTGTGGTTGTGGTTGTGGTTGTGGTTGTGGTTGTGGTTGTGGTTGTGGTTGTTGTTGTTTGTTGTTGTTTGTTGTTGTTTGTTGTTGGTTGTTGTTGTTTGTTGTTGTTTGTTGTTGTTTGTTGTTTGTTGTTTGTTGTTTGTTGTTTGTTGTTTGTTGATTGTTGATTGTTGATTGTTGATTGTTGATTGTTGTTGTTGTTGTTGTTGTTGTTGTTGTTGTTGTTGTTGTTGTTGTTGTTGTTGTTGTTGTTGTTGTTCTTGCTGTGGTTGCTGCGGTTGTTGTTGTTGTTGTTGCTGTGGTTGCTGTGGTTGCTGTGGTTGCTGTGGTTGTTGTGGTTGTTGTGGTTGTTGCGGTTGTTGTGGTTGTTGTGGTTGTTGTGGTTGTTGTTGTTGGTTGTTGTGGTTGTTGTGGTTGGTGTGGTTGTTGTGGTTGTTGTGGTTGTTGTGGTTGTTGTGGTTGTTGTTGTTGTTGTTGTTGTTGTTGTGGTTGTCGTCGTGGTGGTTGTGGCTGTGGTTGTGGTTGTTGCGGTTGTTGCGGTTGTTGCGGTTGTTGTCGTTGTTGCGATTGTTGTGATTGTTGTTGTTGTGGTTGCTGTGGTTGCTGTGGTTGTTGTGGTTGTTGTGGTTGTTGTGGTTGTTGTGGTTGTTGTGGTTGTTGTGGTTGTTGTTGTTGTTGTTGTTGTGGTTGCTGTGGTTGTTGTGGTTGTGGTTGTGGTTGTGGTTGTTGTGGTTGTTGTGGTTGTTGTTGTTGTTGCTGTTGTTGCTGTTGTTGCTCTTCTTGTCCTTGTTGTTCTTGCTGTTCTTGTTGTTCTTGTTCTTCTTGTTGTTCTTGGTGTTCTTGGCGCTCTTGTTATTTGTCTTGTTGTTGTCGTTGTCGGTTGTCGTTGTCGTTGTCGTTGTCGTTGTCGCTTGTCGCTGTCGCTTGTCG